TCATTTCTTTGAGGGCCGGTTTATTCACCTTCTGATAAATTGTCAGGTATGCAATCTAAAATTATAAAACGTTAAATTTATCTTGCAGAAAGTTAGGTGATTAGGTATACCAGGAAGATGAATAAACCGGGCCTTAGAAGAAAACTGTTTTCAGCTGTTTCAGAATTTTGTTCTGCCCATTTCAAACAAGTTTTCTTTGAAGAGGGTGGGCGGGATGTACACCAATTGAGTCAATGAAAAATGAGTCAGGTTTGTGATGGTGGTACAATTTTTTCAGATTCTTCTTCGGATTTTTTTGATCCGGTTTTGAGAACATTATTACGTAGGTATTAAATTTTAGGTACGTAGCGCACATAGCGTGAAGCAGTTTTCATCAGTTGTTCGGATTATCAAGATTTGTTCTTCTTTCGAACGTTCGATGTTCGGATTAGTGGAAGGTCGGATTAACGCATGTTCGGATTATCAATGCTGTATTTATATTTGAACTGCAACATGAGTTTCTTGGAAATAATTAAAGGTTTATCATTCTCTAATTGGTTTTCAGGTATTTCTCACCTCTATTATAAATCCACAATCGTATACTTTTAAAATAGCTGTGATTAGAACCTAAGGTACTCTTATTTTCAATTTGTAGTACCTAATTCGTTCCTATAATTCCTCCAAGCATTTCTAACTTTAGAAAAACTTCCATACTCTTGTTATCTTCGATTGATATTTTTGATCACCTCAGTATTATGATCTCAAAAGTCTTGTTTTTTTTGCTCATATAGTTTCAATGCGCTGATGGTAATCCTCCTTTCACTCGTTACTCTTTAAGAATGCCTTATACGGTGTATGATTGTCCTAAATAATAGTCCTAAGATCCTGGTCTATTTGAAGTATCACGACTTCGCACGTGTTAAACGAGGACGAGTAGACAAGTTCAAGCTTGTTTGGTATACTCTCATTGTGCAAATCTTCCCACACCGTGACCTTTTTAACCAAAAAAAAAAAACTACAAAAGAAAAGGCTCCTTTCTTCTTTTGTGGTGGCTGTTTTGAATGTTGACTTAAGTCTGTAATTTATTTCGGTAGTAGTTATAATAGAATAGTGTGAGTATTGAATCATCACGTGTGAAAATGTTGAGGCTCTTCAACAGGAACGAACAAGTTTGTGAAAAAAACTATAGCAAAAATTTTGAATTTTTAAGTTGCTATGCACGTGCGAATTGCATAAAAGAAATTCTATTTTACCTGATGTAAGGGTTTGTGTGTTGTGTTCAAAAAAGGATAAAAGAACCCGTTTTCAACCCAAAAATAAACCTTTTCTTTGCAAAATTGTATCAGAGATTTCGATACGTGTCCGATAAAAAGGGATAAAGAATTCTGTTTTTCTGGAATAAGGCAGATGGTGCAATTCTTTACAATAGAATTATTTAGAATTCAATTTTTCTTATTATATGCCTCCAATCGGCACCCTTAAATTAAATCCGCCCCTCGGGCCCGAAACTAAACGACCCAAGCTCAATTATATCCTCATTTATGCACGTGTTAAGATTTTTATTTTAATTGGCTTTTAGATTTTAACAAGACTATTAGATTAATGATTTTATTCTAAAAAAAAAGTGCCGCCGTTAGGTGCCACCTTAAAGGAAGTAAATCCTTAAAAATATTTTCTCCAACCATAATTACTTCGACTCAGATTACTACTGCCTATTTCGGCACCACTTTGACAGCTTATATCTACAGCAGAAACCTAATACCCTCCTTTAAATACCTTCTTAAGAGACCAATAATTTTTTTTTTTTAAACCGACACATGCCAGTGTGTATGTGTTAACTGGCCCCTAAAAAAAACTAAACCATAAAAAGAACCACTCACTCGCTTTTTTATTTAAAGGTTCCTTTAATTTTTTTTCTAAGAGCTTCTCGAGTTTCGTCTTGTTGTCTAACACTATGGCGGTGTTTAACACACATACGCTTTGTTAGTGCGCGCACCCTTTCAAATTCATCCCTTTTTGGCACGCACAAAGGGTTAACTGATCGGTTTACCCTTTTTTGCCCATATAAAAAGAGCTTTATTGATGGCAAATAGGGGTTAATAGTACCTATGATGACGTATTGTTTGATGAAGGCGAATTCCACTTCTTCTCTAGAAATATTGTCCAAAGGATCAAAATCCAAGGATTATCAAAATTTGGATTATTACCTTCAAAAGAATTCAGCAAAATAAGAATTGGAAATAATTCTAAATTTGGAATCAAGAAAAATGATTCAATATTCAACAGATCAAGAGCTGGTGAAACTTCATTGGGCTATTCATTGCCTCTAAAAAAATTGATACTCGATACTCGAAAACACGAATAGTCCACCATACAAATATTTTGATTATTACTGGCTTGTGATGGATTGGACACTTTTCCCATAAAAGCAATCAAGAGCCCTTATATACATAAATCATTATTTCAAAATAACATCATCAGTCCTTGATTTGTTGAACGTTGAATCAGTTTTCTGAAGGCAATCAAGAGCCGGGAATAGTTTCAACTTTAAAGTTTCACCAGCTCTTGATTAGTTGATTAATCATTTTTCTAGAGTCAGTCAAGAGCCTTATGATTCTAAACTTGGAATTATTACTAGTTCCTGTTTTGCTGAATGCTAAATCATTTTTCTAGTCAATCAAGAGCCGGTAATATTTCAAGTTTTGATTATTACCGGCTCTTGAAAGAGTTGGTATTGAGAAATATTTTGACTATTACTAGTTCTTGATGGTAATTTTTCTAGCAATAATCAAGAGCCCTTATGATTCATATTTTGAATTGTTATCAACTATATGATTTTTAGATATTGCCAAATAATAATTTGTCATTGCTTTGCAAATTTTCCGATTTTTCAAAATCTAGATTTATTGATGAAAATCTCCTGGTGCATCCAAGAGACAAGATTATTACGATCTTTGGATCTTACCAGATTCCTATATTGGCCTTTCTATATTATGAAGTGTTCTGTTTTCCTTTTAAAAGAATCTGCAGATGTTGAAGGCTTTGAAATCTATACCTACAGTTTAAGGATTTCTTGGAGCTTCTATGGAAACATTTTGGAAATCTTTAAAATTCTGAGTCTTTGCAGCAAATTTCTTGATTCTTTTCTTAAGAAACTCTCAAAATCTTAATTCATTCCCAGACAGCACACAGATATCTTGAAGACATCCCTATGATATCCACAAACAACATTTTAGACGTCTTAAAGACATCTTGAAGACATCGTATGTTATAAAACCCACCATCTTTCAAACGTTTCCCTAAAGACATTTTCAGGACCAATATTTCATTAATTATTATTCTGATGTCCTTTTTTTATAGCTTTCTGGAAAATTTGAAGGATATAAATTTTTTTTCTATTATAGATAGAAAGCTGAAATTTTCAGCAATTCTCATCCCAGTAGCGTTAAGCAATTTGGGGTAAATTTATCGATTTTTCAATTATTCTGAGTGCCTTTTTTCATAGATTTCGGTTTCAAATCTCAGAATAATTTAGTGTATGGAGATTGAGCGATCCCCAATGATCATTTGGTCACAAAATATCAACATAAAAAAAATTTGAATTTCATCATTTTAGTAACAATGGTACTAGCTTATGATTAAGATTTCTGAAAATTTTGAAAGATCATAACTTTTTTTCTATTAGAGATGAAAAGCTGAAATTTTCAGCGATTCTTATCCCAGTAAAGAAGTACAATCCCTGAAAATTTCAGTTCATTTGGACTTGAAGTTTCTGAAATAAAATCTCGTTAAGAAATTTGGAGTTATATTAATTTTTCTGATTGCCTTTTTTCATAGATTTTGGATTCAAATCTCAGAATAATTTAGTGCATGGAGTTTGGGGGGTCCTCAATGATCATTTAGAAACAAAATATCAACATAAAAAAAATTGAAATTTCATTATTTTAGTACTAAGTACCTTATGATTTAGATTTCTGAAAACTTTGAAAGATCATAACTTTTCTTCTATCATAGATAAAAAGTTGAAATTTTTAATGATCTTTATCCCAGTAGAGGACTACAACTCCTGAAAATTTCAGCTCATTTGGACTTATAGTTTCTGAAATAAAATCGTGTATGGAGTTTGGGGATCCGAAATTATTATCTAGCCACAACATATATATTTTTTTAAATTTCATCATTCTAAGGTAGCCACCCTAGAGAAAGCTGAATCAAAAACCTAAAAGAAATCAAAAGTCCAAAATTTGATTCTTATACTGGCATTGATTCATTTTAAAGGAAAGTACCTACTTAATTTGAAACATGTTTTTTTTCAAGGTTCATCAAAATGTTTCACAAATGGTAACGGAAAATTTTTGTCCCTTTAAATTCCCAAAATCAGGTAAAGAAATTCTTTTACTATTCATATATGCAATTTGCACGCGAACCAACCAACTCCTTCATACAAACCAAAACCCTCTAACCGAAATCGGCTATTGTCGATATTCCGCTGACCATTATAATATTCTACCCTCAACAACCACCAACCTGTTATTCTATACATAGGTATTTGCACGTGTATACTCAAAAGTAGGTACATGGGGTTGAATATTATAAACGAGGAAGAGGTAAAAAGGGTCACATTGATGAGGGAGTAAAAGCACAAGCGAAAAATCTTTTTTAAAAACACCCCTACGTATGCCATCTGCCTTCGTTTTCGTGGGAACCAAGACTTAGTTGCGATTCTCACGATTCTCATCAGTGTACGGGGACACCCTATATTCCACATATTAAATTGTTCCGTCTCTGTTGCACTTGTCGAAGCGTAATGGGGGCGTCTCGCTCGGCGCGTTTCACTCAGGCTTGGCTCGGCCAAATTCGAACACCTGTCCCTATACGAGCTTCCTATAGGTCGAGGGTGGGTTCCCTTAGGGTCTCTCTTGTGTGCTGTGACGTCGGGGCTTTCGTTTGGCTATATAAAGAGCAGAATCCTCCGTTTTGAAATCATTCGATTCGTATCGTTCAAACGAATTATTTTAAAAATGAACTTCAACAACGATTTTTTGGTTTCGTCCAACAACACGATAAACGACAACAAAGTTAACGCGAAAAAAGTGGCCCGCAGTCCTTTGTACCAAATCAAGAAGCTGATCAAGTGCGTCTTGAAGAAGAACGAGAAAAACACCTACAAGAAAAACCCGCAGCCCACCTATTTCATGGACGAAGAAATCGCAGACAATTTCGCCAATGAAATTTTGGAAAACGAAATTTTTGAAGAAATTGACACTTGTGAAGACTATGCTGGCGTGCCTATTTACAATGGTACCTCCGCTGAAATCCTGCCGATAGCCCGTGGTCAAAGGTATGTTCCAGTTCACTTTGCCAAAACCGAAGCCGGTACTTTCTTCTGGACGTCGGTGTCGTCGCCTGATAGTGATATTGTCAAGCATAACGCAATTAGCTGCAATCAGACTCCGGAACTACAAGTGCCTTGCGATAGATGGGCGCAAGCATAATTTTGAAGCTTTTGCCGCAACCAATTGTGATTCTCAAGTGCCTTTTTGTGATTTCATTTGCTCAATAACCTCAATTTTTAATATTTTTTTTACATCGATTGTGATATTTGTAGAGTTTTACCTTTTTTATTATTGTATAAGAATTAATCTTGTGATGAGAGCTTTAACTAGATTGTATGTATTATTTAGTAATTAACGTCTTCCAATATAGATTTAAGATTTTTTTTTTAAATAAAACATTATTGAACTTATTTTTGGATTTTTAATTTTTTACTTTTCAGGTTCTTATTAAATTTCATAAAAATTGTGTGCATCATCAGGTAGCAAATGGTGGGCCTACTTTACTTTACCAAAAAGGGTCTTCTTTGGGGTACCTGGCAGAGTGCTGAGATTTTTATTTCTTGTTCCTTAGGTTTTTGTTGGATTTTTTTAGAGATGGGTTTTTATGATTTGGGAATAATTTTCTGTTTCTAAAACATTTTTCTAATTAAAATTTAAATACACTAATTTGTTGTCTATGCCAGGCCCTTGAATTTTTATTTCTCAAATTCAGAATTTTAAAAGTCAAAAACTCTTTCCAACAGACATGATAACTGTTCTAAAACGGTAATTTCCAGTCGATCAATTCATTTCTCAATTAGGATCAACGTTTAACTTATTGAAAAATAGGTGAGCAACTGAAAATTACTGGTTCCGGAACGGTTCTCATGTCGTTGGAATAGAGCTAAAGTTAAAATTCTTTAAAACTTTTAAAAACTGTTGCGTTTCGTTGAGAAGTTTATATTTTTTTGCTTATTTGTTGAAGTTTCAGCTGAAGCATACTTAAATTTTATGACAACTAAGCTGTAAGCAATGTTATCAGGTCTACTGATTTATCAGTAGATCTACTGATTTAGCCACTGGTCTACTGATATCAATGTAAATTCTACTGATAAAAGCCGTTGTCATTATTTACCTGCTTTTTATAATATACTCCTGGACAAAATTATCGCACCACTGCTTATGGAGTTTATGTGCAGTAGTGGTGCAATAATTTTGTCAAGGAGTATATTTTTTAAACTACACCATTTTCAAATCCAAGCGGCAGTAAGTGACAAACTAGTTATTTTCACTACGACCTATCAAATGTCCTCCGTGCATGCGCACTAGTCCAGGTAGAGCGTTTCAACCAATAGGAAGGCTGATATTTGTCGACAATTTAGGTTATTTAATGTCATTTACTGCCACTCAGATTTGGAAATGATGTAGTAATATATTGTAACAAGTTATTCAAGAGTGGATTGTTGTGGAACTTATGGGTAGACCTCTGCGGGACGAGCGCAGCTAGTTCCGCAGCCATCTATTTATCAGTATGTTGTTTAATTACGATACTAACCTGACTCACTCAAATGAAATGTGAGTTATTTTCATTAGTTCAAAAACTACATGGTTCAGGTGAATGTCTTACTTGAACAGTTCAGCAGTATATTGGTGAGTAGATGGCTGCGGAACTCGCTTCGCTCGTCCCGCAGATGTCCACCCATAAGTTCCGCAACAATCCACTTATTTGTACTTGAACAATAACTTATTATATAAAGTCAGAATTTATAAGATTATCCACTTTTTGTCAATTCGCCTTTCAATAGGAATTAGTAATGTTACTTTACCAAACTAGTAATATATTGTGACAAGTTATTTAAGTACAAATGAGTGAATTGTTGCGGAACTTATGGGTGGACCTCTGCGGGACGAGCGCAGCGAGTTCCGCAGCCATTTATTCATCAATATGTTGTTTATTTACGATTATAAGCTGACTCACTCAAATGTGACTTATTCTCATTAGTTTAAAAACTACATGTTTCAGGTAAATGTCTTACTTGTATAGAGGTTCACCCACAAATTCCGCGATAATCGACTTATTTGTACAGGGTGTTTTTTTTTTATATATTGACACCCCACCTAACTCCTTTACCTTTACAGGTAGAAAAAAGATGTGAATACAAAAGTGGTACAGTTTTGGCTGAATTTTTAAAGACCATGGTCAGATACAAAATTTGAATGTCAGAAATTTGAAATTTGCATGCTTCCAGCTTTTTGCAAATGGGATGCCCTATATTTCATACTATATTCTTGAAGAGCGCAATGCCCCGATTCGAAAAATATATAGTTTGTCTATATTTGATTAAACAGTCTCTCATATATTCGTTTCCAAAAATTCTAAAAATACTATCCTACTATACTGATTTTGTGAACCATTTACCTGTACAGGTGAAAGCTGCAGGTAAAATTTGAGGTAGGTACTTGGTTTCTCTGATAGTATTTTTGAAATTTTTAGAACCAAATATGTTGGAGCCATAGGGCATCCCATAGGTAGTGCATATTTAATAGGAATATTTCATGTGTCTTAATCTTAATAAACTATTTCTCATGAGAAGTATTGGTGTTTGATTTTCTAATGCAAGTTTTCATAATCTAATACACAGTCTAATGATTTAATGATTTGAAAAAACGTAGTTAAAATAATTAATTGAGTATACCCTAATGGTGTACCCCAAATTACCCCTTTAACAAGGCAACTAATCTTTCTACTGATTTCTACTCTGATATTTAGACTGGTAGTCTACTGACAAAAAAAAATATGACCTGGCAACACTGGCTGTAAGTGCAAACGAAAATCTTTAAGGGCGCGTTCACATTGACACCGCTCACCGCTCGAGCGGTGTCAATGTGAACGCGCACTAATAACTTGCTTAATTTTGAAGGTTTTCAAAAAATTGTTACCTACTTCACATCTTGACGATTTTTCCAAAAACTCTTGATGGGAAAATTTTAAAACCTTTGCAGTGAAAAGAGGAAGAAAAGAAGATCATCATAGTGAAATTTCAAATTAATTCGATGTAAAATGGCAACATGAGAAAATATTGACAAGCAACTTTAAAAAGCCGCAAGTTAAAAAAAATGTACCCTTTCACATTTTGATGATTTTTCGAAAAACTTCTAATGAGAGAATTTTAAAATCTTTTCGAGTAAAAAGAGGAAGAAAAGGAGAACATATAGGTACTGAAATTTCAAATCAATTGGAAACAAAATGGCAACATGAAAAAATCTTGAAATTCAACTTAAAAAAAGAAACAAATTCAGAAAAATGCTCTCTTCCCCATTTTGATAATTGTTCGAAAAACTCTTGATGGGAAAATTTTCAAACTTTTGGAGTGAAAAGCAAAAAGAAATGAGCTCATCATACTGAAATTTCAAATTGATTCGATGAAAAATGGCAACATGAGAAAATCGTGAAAAACAATTCTTAACAAATTAAGAAAATTGCACCCTTTCACATTTTGATGATTTCTCGAAAAACTTTTGGTGGGAAAATTTTCAAACTCGATGAAAAATGGCAACATAAGAGAATCTTAAAAAATAACTTAAAAATAATAATAATAATAACAATGGCGTGGCAGATCCACACAGACAAAGGTTACATGATGACCGAGGGGTGTCTCACGGTTGGAAATAGGTGTACAAATCTCAAAATAATTTCTGGAAATGTTGAGAAATTACAGAAATTGTCACAAATTATATTGATTCTCAGGAATTATAGGAAATGTTTGGAAATTTTGGGAAATGTCAGGAACTGTTAGGAAATTATTCAAAATATTGGGAAATTTTTCGAAATTATAGAAGATTTACTAAAACTATTATAGAAAATTAGGAAATTTTCACCAAAAATTTTTGAGAAATTTTGTGTATCGCATATTGCTTAGTTCCTGTTTAATATTTTGCGAATAAAAATATCTGTTAAATTAGATTTAGATTAAATTAGATATTATTGTTTCTGAACATATTATATTAGTACCAGCAAATTTGTTATCCACAAGCAATTTGGAAAATAACTGGTATTGATTGTATTGTCATAAAATTTGTAAAATAAATTAAAAATCCTGTCTAGTTCAAGATAATTTCTCTCCGAATAAAAGAAATTTATTCAAATATACAGTCCATTAAACTAATATTGCATTAGTTATAAACATTGGTCTCTACGAGCCGGATATATTCATGTAAGTTCCAGCCAAATAGTGGGTATTCACGCAATAAATGTGAATATTGGAATTGGTGTTTCTCCATTGATGATCGGAAAACGACTGTTTGTCTAACAGTTGGATTGTTCCACCACGGGTCTTCAGTTGGAATTAAATAAGGTAAGAGAATTGCTGAGATTTAAAAAAAAAGTGTGTTTAGATTTGAATCAGTGAAATGTCTGACGAATCAAAGTTAAAGATTAAAAAGAGTAATTTAAAATCTAAATTAACACGATTTAATAATTATTTTGATAATTTAAATAAAGATAATTTAACTGAAGAGATAATTATAGAATTAGAGGAAAGATTGAAAATTTTAGAACCAATTTTATCTGAATTTAATGATGTTATTTGTGAACTTTGTTCTTTAAATGAAGAACAAAAAACAGGCCTCCTTGAAGAAGAGGAGGATTTTGAAAATAAATTTTATAATTTATGTAGTCGGGCAAAATTAATTATTAAAAATGTACGTACTGACTCTGAAACAAATTCTGAAACAAGCAAAGGTAGTGTAGAATCAACTAGACATAGAAATCATAATTCAAATGATCATAATCCAATAGTAAAATTGCCACCCATAACTATACCACCATTTGATGGTAAATATTGCAACTGGTTGCAGTTTAAAGATGCGTTTATTTCATTAATTGATCAAAATAAGTTACTCAGCGACATCCAAAAATTCTATTATTTGAGAAGTTCTCTGCATAAGGATGTTCTTGAAGCAATTCAATCTATTGAGGTATCAGCAATAAATTATAATGTCGCATGGCAGTTTTTACTCGAAAGATATGAAAATAAGTCCCTAATGATTCATAATCATATTAAAATCATTTTTGAATATCCAAAGTTAAGGGATGAATCACATGTAGGATTGAGAAATTTATTTGATACAACTACAAAACACTTACGTTCTCTAAAAAGTTTAGGAGAAAATACTGATTC